CACACACACACACACACACACACACACACACACACACACACACACACACACACACTCTTGCGCGGGGTTTCGAAGCGTTTTTCTTTTTTTTCATTTTCTTTTTTTGTTTTTATTTTTTTTTACGCAATAGAAAACAACAATGCCCCCAAAACAAATATGGGCGTGTAGGGTTAAAAAAACCCTACACGCCCATTTTTTTTTTTTTTTTGTGCGCTAAAATATAGGAAAAAAATAGCTGCACCAAACTCGGCTGGTCGGCCGTGGCCGAACCCGGCCACTTCGGCCGACGGCCGAGTTTTCGGCCCCGGCAGTGACCGGGCGTGCAATATAGCCCGGACACAATTTGGGTGCTCGGGCACCCGGAAAAACAACCTAGACTTCATCTATTTTTATTTTTTGTTTTTTTAGCCTTAAGGTCGAGCCACAGTTGGTACACCCACGGACTGCTGAAATACAGACCCAAGTTCGAGTCCAGATACAGATGACCAGAACAAAAGGTCGCACCAGGTTCTTGACCGTCATTTCTCACCAGCAGAACATGCTGGGCTGCTCTCCCTGCAGCATGTCTTTCCAAGTTGCGTCTGATCTTCTCTCTCAGCTCAGCATGGATTCTCAAGTTGCACTGCTTCCGATCATCACCATACTTGCGCAGAATACTGCCTCTTGCACCCACAAGCTTGTTGGCCTTCCACATGAGCTCTGCAAATCAGGAAATTACAAAAAGAAAAAAAAGAAAAAGAAAAAAAAGCTCCGCCTCTCAGATATTGAAAGAGCCACAATGTCAAAAAACGTGCGTAAATCCAGCCAGCCCCTCATTTGCCAGATCTGAGATTTCTGATGGATTCTCTGCGGCACAGCTACGATCTTTGCATATGAAGTCGCCCTTGCCCAGACTCAGACTGTTCTGGCCAAGTCTTTCACTTGTCACTTTTGTCCTGGCCATTGGCCATTCCATAGCTAGCCATTTTACGGCCTACCCCAGCCCGAAGTCCATCCGCAGACCGGACTTTTCCCAGACTTGACCTTGTCTGGTCCAGCCTTTCACTTATCATTTTTTTGGCCTGGGCCTGTCCACGGCCACGTTAGGGCCTGCTCACCCTTCATCCATCTGCAGTCCTTGAGGTCTGCAGTAATATACACAGCGCCCGCAGCCCATCCGCAGACCGCACATTTCCCAGACTCGACCTTGTCTGGTCCGACCTTTCACTTGTCATTTTTTTGGCCTGGGCCTGTCCACCGGCAAGTTAGGGAGTCCTTGCTCTCCATCCATCTGCAGTCCTTGAGGCCTGCAGCAATATACGCAGTATTACTCACCCTCCATTCCACATCCGGTTTGCACCTCGAAATGTGGGGCCCCGTAAATTTTCAGCTTTGTTCCAGAGGAACCTGATTTCACACTGCTGTTCTCAGCAAGCCCAAGGTGGACCTTTGCTGCAGAGAGGGCCTCCAATAATCCTGTCTGCCGGCCATGGTGGCGAGCGAGAGGGCCGGACAAGCTGAAAGAGAGAAGGGACAGGGAGAGGGGGCATGGGAACAGCAAGCAAGGGAAAGCGAGACGACATGCAGGTTGGTGGATATAGGGCGTCCCTCGGCTGATGTCTGTCACCCCCCAAAAAGATGGGCTCTTACTGGCGGGCCCGGCTCAGTTGGTACACACCAATGAATTGTTGAAATACAGACCCAAGTTCGAATCCAGATGATGGAACCAGGTGAATGAAATCTCAGTTGTATAAGGTGTCCCTCAGCTGATGTCTGTCACATCGTTAAAGTTTAATGTTTAAAGTTTAAAGTTTAAAGGAGTCGAAAGCTGGCCTCTGTCCTTCGGGACATCATAGCCGTTAAAATTTGGAACAATACAGAGAAGATTAGCATGGCCCCTGAGCAAGGATGACAGGAATTAAAAAAAAGAAAAAAAAGAAGCTCGCTTCACGTATAGTCTGTAGTCTCTGAGTATCCTATACAGACGTACATATGTTGGTTTCCCGTGGCTTATCCTTTGTTCCTATTCAATCAATTCAATTCAATAAATCAGTTAGCCATTAGAACCTTCCCGCATATAGCGACATAATAAAGTCAGAATGCGTCAGAGATTTTCTGTGTCTGACATGGCAATGACTTGTACGGAACTTTTACCACTTTCATTGACTTTGACATCTGCTTCTTCCGAAGCCAGAGAACCCCTTCCTAAGTCTGGAAATCTGCATCTGACACGTAGCCTCTGCGGAAGCCAGAGATCGCCTTCCAGAGCCCTTCCTAACCCCACCCTAAGCCCTTCCTAAGCCCTTCCTAAACTCTCCCTAAGGCCTTCTATTACACTTCCTACCCCTTTCTAAACCTGAGCCCTTTCAAAGCCATTCGAAAGCCCTTCCATCGCCCTTCCTATACCCTTCCATATCTCTTCCTAAGCTCTGCCTAAACCCTTCCACGACTTTCCGCAACCTCCCAACGCCCTTCCACACAACCTTTCCCCAACCCTTCCTAAACCCTTCCTAAACTCTTTCTAAGCCCTTCCTAAACCCTTCCTAAACCCTAAACCTAAACGCTTCCCTAACTCTTTTTCTGGACCCTTTCCACACCCTTCCTAAACCCTCAACCGTAAAACCTAAACACTTCCCAAAGCCCTTCCTAAGCCCTTCCCAAGTCATTGCTGAACTCTTCCCAAATCTACGCGCTTCACCTTTCTAAACCCTTCCTAAACCCTTTTCAAGGAAAACTCTTCCTAAGAAATTGCACAACTTCATTCTCCTGGATACCAAAACAAACTTAATAAAAAGACGTTTTCAGTAGTTCCTTGCCCCTTTTTTTAACCATTTTTCCTTTCCCTTTTTCCCTTCTTCCCTTTTTCCCTTTTTTTTCTTCTTTTCCTTTTTCTCCTTTTCTTCCCCCTTTTTCCCCCCTTTTTTTCCTCTGCCTCTTTTTGTTCTTCTTTCTCTTTTCTGAAGTTGTGCACTGTTATCTAACTCCAAGACTTCAAGTTCTTTAACACCCCCCCCCCCCCCAAAAAAAAAAAAATAATAATAATAATAATATGTATATAAAATTTGAAAAATATATTTTGCCTCCAGTGGGTCCTCCACCCTGCAACTGATCAGACATGCACGTGTACTTACAACCACGTCGTGAATACCATTGCAGATGTCAAACCACCAGTACCTTTTCCCACTTGAAAAACAAATGTGCGCGGCGGTTAACATGGGCAACTTTCGGGGCCAGGCCCGTGTTGCATTTCGGGCCTCAGAAAGTTGCGGTGAGGGGCCCGCGGCCGATATATGGGAAAGGTACTGGTGTTTTAACTTTTAAGTCTTAACGCAAGAAATAAGCGCTCTGTGTTTCTTCGCTGCTTCTTTCTTTCACCATCGTGACAGGAAAAAAAAAAAGAAAAACAAATCGATTTGAAATTTGAAATCGGATTGACAATGACGTAGTCTTTGAATCAGGGCCTCACTGCGCCACTCACCAAATGCAGAAAAAGACAAAAATGATGGCGGTGTATACGTCCATGTTTTAGCGGAAGACTCGTTGTCATTTTTGCACATTTAGTGAGTGGTGCGGTGATGCCCTTAATCTTTCCATTCCATGCACAAAAAAAAGCATTGGGGGAGGGCTGAGAAAAAGAACAGCTTCAGCAAAAAAGGGCAACAGAACTGACAAACATCTCCATCCACTCTGCTGAATCGATGATTCTGCAGAATCTGCACCGCTCACCAACTGCTGCCTATGAACACACCAACAGTACCTGTGCACGAGGCTGAAATTCCCACACCGCAGGTTCGGTAGTAATCCTTCAGCAAAGGCACCGCCTCTGACCATGTCCAAAGGCCTCCTATTTTCCTTCTTAACTCCTCGCGAACCCCTTCTCCTGCGTCAATACCCCACGGCACGGCAAACCTCTCTCAGAACATGAGAAGAAAAAGTTCAAGAGACAAAACAGGGACATTGAAATTATGTGGTATTATGGTAGGAATATTTTCATGACCGGCCAGTCACCCGGGCGTGACGCCCGGGATACCCGGCATGGGGGAAAAAAAAGACAAAAAACAAAAAAAAACAAATGGGCGGTGAGGTTTTTCCACGCTCTCTGAGAGGAGCCCAAATCCGGGCTCTTTTCTTCTTCTGAGAGATGGCTGTCAAGGGGGGGGGGGGGGGAGGGGAGTATAAATGAAATTTAAAGGGGTTAAAGGGATTTAAAGGGGGGTGCCTTAGTGTTTTTTTTTTATATATATATATCTTCAGTTCCGTGAGGAATTCTGATGTGACCCTCAGCCAAAAGTTGTTTGTATTGCAATTCTACACAACATAATTTTTTTTCAGATTTTTTTGGAGGTTCCTTTTTTCTTTTTTCTTTTTTTCTTTTTTGCGCTGGGGCTGCCCGGGGCTCATGCCCGGCCGGTCACCCGGTTGCCAGACCGGCGTGATGTCGGGACAGAGGCGCCCGGGATATCTCCCTAGGTATTATGTCCTTCTGGGGGAAGGGGGGGTGCGTTATTATCTGAGGTGAGTTTGTTTTTTTTTTGTTCTTTCTTTTTGGTTGGAGCACGCTCTGTCTTCTACACTTTGTACTCGCTACTACTCGGTTCCAATCCATGTGCATTGATTGGATCATGGCACACTGTGTACGACTGTGTCCTTTAGATATGGACTCTGGTGTGAACACATTGTTTAAGGCAAGCACCTGTGCTGCATGTTTGGTTTGGTGGTGATTGGTCTAAACTTCGTGAGATCTTGAGCCTGATGGAGAGGGGTGTGTGCAGGGTGAAGGGGGACACAAGGTGTTATGCTATTGCAGCTGGTCTTTCCTGATTTGGAAAAACATGGCGTCCAACGACCCCCCGAGACTTAGGACCTCCCTCCACTACTCGCCACATGCACAAAAGACACAATCTTCCCAAGTTCTAGCAGAATATTCACTCTCATTTTACACATTCGGTGAGTAGTGCAATCAGACTCGTCTCATTCACACTTTTCTTGCATGTAAACAGCAGCACAGCAAACTGGCGAGATTCGCCCACTCAATACTCAGAGACATGGCTTCCAGATAGCTCACTTTCAACTGGCTATGGCGCCTCAGCGCCCAAACAACTCACTGTTCACACACACCGGATCACCCTGGATATCCCACACGCGTACTCTGAACACTCACACAGGCACACACCCTTCACACTAACTACAGCTATGGCAGCTATGGCTGCCTCTAACCTATCGCTATCCTAAGCTCCTTCTCTCTCGCCCTCTGCGTCCTCCGGGCTCACTGCAGACCTCCTTGCACAAGTCGCTGTGGCAGCGCTTCCGCATGGCTCCCGCAGGAATGAATGAATGGCTGGGCGCTGCCTCTTGATTTATACTTTGGAAACTCATTGGTCTGCCCTTTGCCATCGGCCCATGGTGCTCACAGTCTCCCGTGGTACTTGCTGGACCGGACTGGGATTGACTGGACCTTACCGCTGACTGACTGTGGACTCACTGCTATCCTACCGTCGTCGTACTGCAATTGCAATGCAGTTTAGTCCACCACTTGCCTCGCCACTTGACCACTTGCCCACTTGCCTACCTTCTAGAAGGACTACAGCTAAGCTTCTGGAACTCACTAAGACTTCTACTCTATAGATCTACAGATCGAACTCCTGCTGCCTACGGACCTATGACAGACCTATCAACTGTCTACGAATACACAGGTCACAGGTTCAATTCTCGGGGCCTACACGGATACTGTACATGGGGAAGGCGAGGTCCAGGGAGCGAACCCTGGGTACTGCATCTGCTACTGCTGAGAGGTGAAAACCGTTTCACTCCCGCCGTCCTAAATTCGAGGTCCTCTGAGAACATCTTAGTCCCAGGCGGGACCTTTACCTTTCTTGTCACGCTCATAAGCTCTGTCGGGAGCTGTCTCTAGAAGTTCTGTTCTTGTGAACCAGCGGTCGTCTTTCGGTTCCTGATAGGCAAACCAGACCTTATACTGCTTCTGGGGATGACCTCTACCTCCTGTTCTAAACACATCTTCGCCTACAATACCTTCAATGTCACAACTTCCGTCCATATCCGGAGGGATCATAGATCTTCTTGAAGGGAACTGTTTGGATTGTGACACACGGCAACAGCTTTGAAGCGTGGAACACAGGATATGTGTGGAGGTGTAATGGGATCTCTATAGTGTAGGACGGTCCATCCTCTCCGCCCTTGACTTCTAGAACCGGCCACGGTCCTCTATATGCAGGCAGTAACTTCTGCGAGATGTTTTCCTCAGGTGCAAACTCTTTAGCCTTGACCCAGACTAAGTCGCCTACCTGGAACTGCGACGGGCGACGGTGCTTATTAGCCTGTTCTATCATTCTATGTTGGGTCTTTCTGAGGTTCTCAACAACAGTTGCTAACTCTTTCTCATGCTGCAAAGCAAACTCCCTGGTTCCGGGTGGTAGTCTGTGAATCTGGTCCCGGTTCAGTCCTTCGAACGGTCTGTGTGGTCTAAAGGACTTGTGCAACTCATTGGGAGTGCGGCAGGTGGATAGATGCACGCTGTTGTTGTATGCACTAGCTACCTTAGGCAACATCTCATCCCAGTTAATCTGATCTGGTCTAATGTACATGCGCAGAACTTGCTGTAGGATCTTGTTCATCTGCTCAGTCTGGCTTAGATCCGTAGACTCTCATGAGTTCTTGCCAGTTCTGGCTGGTGAAACGACTGTCCCTATCGCTAACTATTGACAATGGGATTCCATTCTCACTAATCCAGAAATCAAAGAACTTCTGTATAACTAAATATGTACGTGCCTCTGCAGGCAAGGGAACAAAAACAGCATACTTACTAAAACGGWCAACTATGACCATGACTTGGCTCTCACCATGTCTGCTCTTGACTTGGGTGTCCATGAAGTCTATGGACACTGAGTCTCCCGGCTGATCCGGAATAGGTAAGGGTTTGAGAAGACCTAGGGGTGCGCGTGTAGTAGTCTTATTATACTGGCATGCTTTGCAACTGCAGACATACTCTATGCAGTCATTTTTCATTCCTGGCCAGGTATACGCACGCATCAGGATGGCTAAAGTCTTTTGCCAACCGAAACGTCCCTCAGTATCGTGGCATTCCCCTAAAATCAGACTGCGAATCTCTTCGCCGTTGGGAACGCACAGGCGGTCAAATACATCAGTCTTCTCAAACAGCAACCCGTCTGTAGTGCGGTAATCTGGTTCAGTCTTTGGGGCCTCTCTAACTTTCTTTAGGAGGTCGCTATAGATAGGGTCCTGCGCATACGCTTGTTTCACTTTCTCTTGCAGGTCTCTCCCTATGTCCAAATAGTGTACTATGGCTCCAAAGTAGTCTGATCTCCTACTCAGAGCGTCCGCAACTACGTTGTACTTGCCTTTTACTGGCTTGAGCTCAAAATCGTACTGGTCTATCTCTGCGGCCCACCTAGTCAACTTAGGTGTCATCTTGGCCTGCGTCTTCAACCATCTAAGAGTTTCGTGGTCAGAATATACTTTGAAGTGCCTCCCAAGCAGGTAATGCTTCCAGTGCTCTAGAGCCTGCCTGAGAGCGTAGAGTTCTCTCTCGTACGTCGAGGTGGCTACCTTCTCTGAGGGCATCCTCGCGGACATGAACTCTACGGGTCTGTAGCCATTGCCGTCATCTTGCTGCAACACGGCGCGCCTATCCCATACTGACTCGCGTTCGTGGTGACGACAAATGGCAAAGACGGATCAGCTACTTTGAGGACAGGGTACTCTATCAGTGCGCGCTTCAATCTCTTTAGCGCAGACGTACAATCCTTGTCCCATTGCCAGATTGCCTCTTTCTTCAGGGGAGCGGCGATAGTAGAGAAGTTCCTCACGAACTTTCTATAGTAGTTAGCTAGGCCTAGGAACGACCGCAACTTAGTCAATGTGCGGGGCGTCGGCCAATCTCTAATCGCCGCGATCTTGCTGTCCTCTGGCTTAATGCCATCTCCATCCAACACGTGGCCCAAGTATAAGACTTGCGTCTTGGCCCACTCGCACTTCTTCGCGTTGATCTTGAAGTTAGCCTCTCTAAGCTTCTCCAAGACCTCCCTCAGATGACCCTGGTGCTCCTGGAGGGTCTTACTAAAGACTAGGATATCATCTAAGTAGACTACAACAAACCTATCCAACCAGGGTCTAAATAAGTCATTCATGCAACGTTGAAAAGTGGTTGGCGCGTTGGTCAGTCCAAAGGGCATCACCATAAACTCATAGTGCCCATAACGAGTCCGGAACCCAGTCTTGTATTGATCATCAGGATGGACTTCTATCTGATGATATCCGGACTTCAAGTATATCTTAGAGAAGTACTTGCAACCCTGCACCCGATCTAAGAGATCGTCTATCCTGGGAAACGGCTCAGCATTCTTCACAGTAATCGCATTTAAACCCCTATAGTCTATACACATAAGAAGCTCTCCTTCCTTTTTGGGGACAAACAGAACAGGTGCTCCAAAAGGAGACGAACTGGGCCTGATCCAGCCCTTCTCAAGGAGATCATCTAACTGCTTGCGCAACTCCTCTAACTCCCTAGGGGACATCCTGTAGACTGCTCCCTTAGGAGTTCTATTGCCAGACTCTATCTCTATCATGTGCTGGATGGGTCGCGACACTACTCCTGTGGGCAACTCAGTCAAGTCTTTGAATTCCTCCAGCAGCTTGGCTATGGTTGGATCTGTGGGACTATCTTTTTCCTTCGCCTCGGTGACAGGTCTAACATAAACTACAAAGACCTAGTCCTCTAACTGCTCCTTTTTCACTAATCGCGCGAACGAGGGAGCACTGAGACAGCAATGTGCTTAGGTGTTGTCTACACCGGACACATGAAACACGCGGGCAGTCTTAACCTCACCTGACGGACTAGGGAAC